ATCGCGAATTGTACAATGGTAGAGGACTTTTCTTCTCAGTTTAGTTCCTTCTGCTCTTGTGCGAAAGACTCATACACTATCACTAATTTTCAAATACCCTGTATATATTTTATTTATTTCAATTTCTTTATTATTTTACAATATTTTATAGTAATATTTGTTACAATTTATTATTAACAATAATATATTAATATTTATATTAATTTTTTCACCAGCTTCATGTATGTCCGTTTGTACTTTTTTGGATGTAATACCACTTGAATTAAAGGAAGAATTCGACGTTGAATTTCGACGTGAATACAAAAATTACAAAATTAAATTGTACGGTAATAAAAATTGTGATATGAAAGATCCAATGTTAGATATGCACAAATTATTGATAACTTACGCACGAAAAGGTACGCAATAATTATATAACAACATTACATTTTATATCATATTTATAAGTATTTATCATTTATAAAAATTAACCCTTCAGCATTACTTTGTGCCTTTTAAAAGTTGATATCATGTTTTCTCATGAAAAATTCTGTTCAGATTTTTATATGTGAAAATAAATAAAATACCGTCTAATTTTTATTATAATAAAAACTTATTGTTAAATTTCTTTATTGTTAACTTTCACAAGTGTACATGAATTTTTTAAAATATTTATGTAGTCCCGAACCATAAAAAATATACTCTGTTTTCCTTAACGGTCCAGAGAATAAACTATGATAAAAAATTTTGATGTGATGCTGAAGGGTTAAGTATGTAAAAAAAAATCAAGGTTTGCAAGTAACATTGTTATTTGTAACATTGTTATCGCTACAAATTACTTTTTTCGATGACGAATGAGTAACGATATTACATTTTCTTCTGAGTAACGTTCATGGTAATGCAGTTATATTTTTGGGATAACGGTAACAATTGCATTAGTTATTTTCATCGTCTGAGTACAAGAATTGTCATAACACTTACTTCGTGTCTCCAAGAGACGGCAATACATCATACGGCAAAGCTTGTGCGTTACTTACGTCTACAACTTAAATCTCTAAGTGTTACGATAATTCTTGTGCTCAGACTCTTTACTTTATTTCTAATTATGTAAAAATTTAGTCGTAACTATAACTTTAGAAAACAGAGATGAATAAATTAACGGTCTGATTGGCTGTCTAAATCACGACGCCTTTTTTTCATTGTATTCACAGTTTACATGTATAGACTAATTTAGATATAATCTTTATAGTATATTTAATTTCTTAAAATAAAATTTTTTCTGTGTCATATCATAAATTAAATATATGTAATTAAATATATATAATGCAGATTACAAACAATACTATTTTTTTATTCTGATATAATTTCACCCTTAGAGCATTTACGATAAGTCATTCGTATCTTATTTCTTTTCTTCAAAATACTGGTTAACTAATTCTTTTTATCTTTTTTAAATAATCCTTTCCTTCTTTTTAAATATACAATTTTATAAATGTTTTTTAAAAATGGTAAAATGTATATAAGAATCTATTCATAATTTTTGTATATTTGCAAAAATTATGGAAATTAACCCACACACAAACGACCTCTATAGAAAGAGAAACCTAAAGTGTGTTATATCCGTATTCATAGTTCTTCCTTGAGAAATGAGGATTCCTTGTTTCTTATTTCATGTTTCATAAACCTTCCTTGACCAAACAAGGAGCCTTATTAACTTTCTTTTCTCAAGGAAGGTTACGAGTTTCTTTAAGGAGGAGATGCAGCTTTCATAACCAATCAAATCACCAAATTTAGTTCGTCACACTGGTCTTCTTATTTTCGACAGCTTTTAATTTAGATCTATCGCATCAATAATTATTTTCGATAGTTTTTTTTTTTCGAAAATAAAATGTATCAAAAGTATTTTCTCCTTCTTCGTATAATAAGTATTATGACGAATTTGATTGAAAGCACTGATGCATATTAAAGCCGTTATACGCTAATTTAATTTGAGTATAAAAATAAAATACAATATTTCGAATTATGAAATACATATTTTACCTAACAGTACAATAAAATATATTGAGTATTTCACAATTTGATCAATTTCCATGTTTATTTATAAACATATATTTACATTATTTTGTGTACGATAGTTTTAATATGCATCAGTGCGCAGTGAGTGCGTCCAATTAAATTCGCTAATAGTTTTATTTTTGTCCATTATTGTTGCAAAACGCTTAATCACGACTTTATTTAATTAACAATGTCTTTATAACCTTTATTATTCGTAATTCATGATATTAAGTTTGCTTATATTATGACATGCAGCCTTCAGTACGTTACTAAAATCCATAAAATATTCCTTCCTTCGGGAAGGCAGACTTGATATCCATTTATGAAACAAGGAGGCCTTGGAGAATAGCCTTCCTTAAAATAAAAAAGAACTATGAATACGGGTTAAACAAGGAAAAATTCAGTATCAATTTTACGACGCGAAACAGGCCAGTATTCATAGGGTGCTTTCCAGCAAGGACATAGTCAGACAATGTAACACAGTGAATCATTACATCTTATTGCTTGTCTACGTTAAACAAGGATGAAACGATTTACAGTGTTACACAATGTCTGATAGTGCCCTTGCTGAAAAGCACCCATAGTCGATTCTTACATTTAGATTGTCTTAAATACAATCAAAGAGAAACAGAAGAGAATGTTTGGTTCTAAGCAAATAAATGGAAGTGACTATATACTATATACTAGCATAAAAAATGGACGCTTAAGATGGTTGCCATGACATACATCAATGTACATCCGCGAATTTAGCTATCCTCACTATTGATACATACCCTCCTGTTTTTCTTTACTCTTTGAGTATAATCTTAAGATACCATAATTCAATCTGAGGGCTGTATTAGTATCTTAAGACAATATTAAAATAAAAACGGACTATGAATATCGCCCCATGTTTCACAGTTGGTAGCCTTTTCCCTTGACATGGACGCGACATTTATAGACAGAGGCGACGGAGATTTAGAAAGAGATATTTGCAAAGTGAAGACTATATTATCTCTTCCACCATAAGAATAACGCAGATGGGTTTTCTATAATAAGCCATTAGTCACAAATCAGAAGTCAGATGCTAAAAATTGACCAATCATAGTCGTCAATTTTTAACTTCTAACTTCTGATTTATACTGACTGGATTTCACCCTTAGCGTGCTATTTTATTTGTGCGTTTTTATTGTACGACAAATGTGTACATACAGAACAGAGAGATTCTCGGATCTTTCTATCCCTAGCTAATCAACAGGCTTGAAAAATTTATCGTACGACAAAAACACACAAATGAAATATCTCCTTTACGTGAAATCACATGGTGCAGAATAGAGATACGTCAGAGAAGCAACCAATCAGCATTATTCTGCGTTATTCCAAATAGTACTAATTGATTATTTTAATGGCTTAGTTTCCATCGAGAGTTTAAACTGAATCAGAATGTAAGAACCAACCAACTACAATCGAACATTCCCCAGTCATTTGACTGCAAAATTCGACAGGAGAATACTTGATTGTAATTGGTTGGTTCTTACATTCTGGGATCTTATTCTTAAACAAATATCGCATACGAAAATAGCAATTCCGTATACAATCGACCAATCACAGTCGAGAAACTATCATTTTCGTATGCAAAAATTATTCGTATGTGCTCAAGAATAGAGGCCCTGATTCAGTTTAAATCCCGATGGAAACTAGGCCACTGACGCATTATATCTCGTAGCCCTTTTCCGCATCGTGTATGGAACAGAGAATGCGTCATTCAAATAACCAATTAGCGCTATTTGAAATAACGCAGAATAACGCTGATTGGTAGCTTCTATGACGCTTCTCTGTTCGCAGTCGTTTTTCGCATCGTGTAATTTCATCCTTAGCGGCTCGTAAAATTGCACTTTTATTGCACCATGTGCACCAGTTCAGACAGGACAGTGCAGGAATAAAAAACAGACTTCTCGTTTTTAAACTATTACCTAACCTACACGACAATGCGTCATGTTACATCGTGTATGCTAATTCATGATTTTCACTGATAATCTAAGAAATAAACATTTCTCTAAAATATATCCGTGATAATTTGCATCGTTTGGTGACGTCCAATCATGTATTCTATATGTAAAAGTACCCATCCCGCAACTGGAGTCGAGCACGCGATCACATGCCACTTTTTCAACCGCAACGAGAAATGTCTCGTTGTTGCCGGCGCGAATGTTATACGGGTGTTTCGTCTGATTCCTGATGTGGACATGACACGAAGGGAAAAATATACAGGTACTTTTTTATTTTAATTTCCTCTTAAAACACTACTGGCATATGAATATATAAAATAGAAGAATATATACATATATTCTCTTCTTGCAGAAATACGCCCCCCTAAAATGAAACTGGAGTGCTTGACACAATACACTTTACACGGAAATATCATGTCCATGCAGGCAGTTCATCTCATTGGATCTCAAAGAGATTCTTTGCTGCTCAGCTTTCGTGACGCAAAGTTATCTGTTGTTGAATATGATCAAGATATTCATGATCTAAGAACTGTGTCGTTGCATTACTTCGAAGAAGAAGAAATAAAGGTTCCAATTTTTATGGAAAAGAGTTATAAGAGCTTTTAATTTTATTCTGAAAACTAAAAACTTTGTTTTTAGAGCTATCATTTATATTTAGAAGTTTTTTCTGTTCTTTAAAAAATAATACAATATCATAAACATTAAACTAAATATCTCAAAATACCATAATGTTTTATCTTAGTCACATTGAAATTTATTTGAATACTTTGGATACTTTGTTTTAATCATAATATTTCTCAATTAAAATTTTTAGTGTCAGATGTATGATGATAATTTTATGAATTAAACTAGAATTTTTTGTTTGATAAGAGTTCTAACATTGAGCTGTATCAATCATCTCAAATTTTATTTTTAATACTGCAGATATCTCAAACTTTCAAGTTACATTTTATTTTATTAGGATGGATGGACAAATCATCATCATATACCAATAGTAAGAGTGGATCCCGAGGGAAGATGTGCAGTAATGCTGATATTTGGTAGAAAATTAGTTGTATTACCTTTTCGTAAGGATCCTAGCCTTGATGATGGTGATTTACTTGACAGTGCGAAATTAACATCTACCAATAAGACTCCGATACTATCCTCATACATGATAGTATTGAAAACACTAGAGGAAAAGATGGATAATGTGATAGACTTACAATTCCTACATGGATATTACGAAC